TGAAAACGGGGATTTTCCAGAATATCATTTGGCGGTTTTGGAAGTTTCTGAATGCTATCTACGTCCAGTCTTTCCGGCTTTTGCGTTTTATTCGCCGGTCTTATGTTGAAGGTGATTTTTTTCAAGTTTCTTAGTCGCATTGCACGTAGTGATTTAGAGAGCATGATGAAATCACACTTATTGGAAGTTGAAAGTAAGTGTGTTAGAAATGGCACATTGATAATGTCAGTAGTCAAATTGAAGGGACATTTGGCACACTTTCAGGTAGTAACAATCGATTATTGCCGGTCGTTAACACGAATTAACTAATGAGACCGGCGAGAGCCCTTTTTAAAAAACAATTTTATTTCGTTAGATTACAAAAGTTCACACATCTCCTTGGTAGTTATTGTCTCCAAACGGACATATGATCTGCTGGCTCATCAGTTTATGGGGATAGGCGGTCAGTTAACTCATGTAGCCGATTTAACCGGATATTATTGGAACCGTCTCATAAGACCGGAAAAATGGTTCACATTCACACCAAGACAGAACCGATGCGACGCCGTCGAGCCATCCAATACTCATTTGTCAACGGAAATTATGTTTTGTTGTAATGATTGTGTTTATGACTTTTTCGTCTGTAGGAATTATTGGTTGTGTTCTCCAAGAACCACAATCAGTCCGATCAGCGAAATATAATTTAGTTGCGGTGATGACATAATTCAGCATTTTTAGTCTATAAGTATAACTGTTCTCTTACGATCTGCAATAAATATTTTTGAAAAAGGGATTTCTCTGATAAATAACCTTTACTTGGGTATAACTTCGTTCAGGATTGCCGAGCACACATTTTTGTTGGAGATCGTTCCTGTTAATGTGGATTATTTAATGTTAGACCTACTGTTGACTTAATAACACTCGTAAATAATTCAAATGCTATTTCAAAATCTGTGGTGCCCCAGCCATTAGATGAAGTTCAGTTGAAAGATAGACAAGAAGAAGATTATTAAATTATGAAGATTTTGACAAAACTTGTTTCATAAAAGAAATATTTTTAATCACTTTAATTTTTTACTTTTAATGTCAATTACCTTCTCACATCAAAATGAATAAAATTGACAGTTAACATTGAAGCTACTTTCGTACCATGCGAGAGATAATTTTCCAAAACCGGGTGCTATCATCATAGTAAAAAGCATCCGCAGAAAAAATATTCTTAAAGATCAATTCATTTTGTAATAAAAATTAGATTTTTTACCATTTTTCATGCGTACATTTTATTATCAGTTTGTCCTCGTTTAAGTAGTTACTTATGACCCATGTTTTGTTTTCGTTCTTACAATATATTATTTTTGGTTAACCAATGTTGAGTATTTTTTTTACGCAATTAAATAATTATTTATCTTCACTATTTCTACCATCATCATCATTACGAATTTTTAATTCAACATTTAAAAAGTAAGTTTTAAAGGTAATTTTTGGAAGCCCATTTTGAAACCTAATACCAAAGTATAACTGCCGCGCTGGTTCCACAAAATAACTGTTTGGCACACCTCTACTTCCGTGGAACTTTTTGAGCTTCAAAACGTGATTAAAACTTCAATCGGTTAGGATGTAAGAATCTCTAAGAAATTTTGACTTGAGTATAAAAAATACTCCTGTGAGAAACCGATTAAAGTGCTAATAAAAAGTGAAAAGGAGACCTTTAGAGAGGAAAATTCCCTATCGAAGTGACCGATTTTAAACCTCCATATTGGAGCCGGATGGAGCATTTTTCCTCCGCGATACCTGATTGTTATGAGGATATTGGGACCGGATCGAAATGCGCATTGACGTGAATGTTCCCTAAATGAAACAACACCAACAAGAATAATTTGTAACCCCTGTAGCAACAATTCGAAAGCTCATCAGTCTGAAAATGAGGCAATAACACTTCATAGTTGACGCTTTTGGAACAGTGGCGCCCGAGTTGAACAGGTCCACATCCGAAACGCTGTATGCCCCCTACAACGAGGTGAATTTATGGGACAACAAAGGAAACACGCGAGCAATAAATAAAAGGACGCGTGTAAAAATAACAAAACCCTATTGGTCACATGTGACATTTTAATCCTTCGTAATGCTGAATAAATGAAAACATGGGACGATCGCTTGCACGCATCGCCTACCACCCTGTTATTCAGAACGGCAAATGTCAGTTACGTAACAATTAGTGAAGTTTTGCCCTTTAAATTTTGAATATTTAATTAACAGTAGCTTGGACGGTAATCAGCTCGTTCAATTAGGTATTTCGATTAATAAATTTGGGCAAATGTTATGAAATTCCTTTAATTAATTGTAGATATTGCGATACTCAGCAGCTACATGAAATGAAATCGATAAGTTATTGTATATAATTATAATTATGACTAATTAATATTTGGATCTATAACTGCTAATTATTTTGCGTTTCGATCTAATAAGCTCTCGGCTGAATTATGTTGATTTGAAATTGCAAGCGAATTAATACAATGGCAGTGTTCTCGGTTGAAGAAACTGACACTTAAAAAGTTAAGAAAACAGAAGGAAGCAATGAAAGGGAAACTCGCAAAGATGAAAATCTGTTCATGATCAGATCACTGCGAGTTGAGTTTTTAAGTTCATTCGTTAGTAATTTACAAAATTACGGACTGATGTTTCCATTATTTTCCGTGCTGACTTAAGTCTTTCAATTTGTAATTGAAAACAGTCTATAACAATTAATCGCATATACAGGGTGTCTCTCGGTGGTTTTGGCACGTTCTGAAAATCCGACTACTTCTATAATCAAGGGTGATCTAACGATTTAAAATATTTTCAGCAATGCAGCGCTGTCGCTTCTATAATTAAATATCAATAACTTTGCTACTTCAAATGAGAGTTTACTTTCTTATATCCGTCTCTAACGGGTTTCGATTAATTCATTATTTTCCAATTTTTTAGTTTAAAACATAGGAAGTTTGTAACTGCAACATTTGCATTCTTCAAATATTCAAATTTTAGGTGTCATTCAAGTTATATGGAAAAGTATGTTCTGCATTACACCGGGTCGCGTAAAATTAGTGTTTTTTTCAGCTAAATTTCAAAGTGGTGAAACAGCGGTTTTTTGAAGTGACGCAGGTTCTCTCTTGCACGCACACAACTGCCAGCAAACCTTATTAACCCGTTAGTGGAAATAATAATAATAATAGTGTGTAATCTGTGGGCCGTTCGTGTGTATATAATAGTGCATAGTGTGTGGGCAGCGTCGTCCGAACTGTTTTCGTCAGAAATTGTGCAAAAAGGAGCAAATGATCCAATTTAATTGAAACGTACTGAAGCGTCCACTAGATCCGAAATAATTCTTAGGAGTTTGTACGAACCATTGTAAGTAAAATGGAATCTTAGACTGGGCGTCTTTTGGAAGTAGTTCGTCAGATTTCGCATATGTGGGTATCATACTTATAAAGGGTGATTATATCAGCGTAATTGGACAACTCGAATAACGGATCATTTGCTTTTGGAAATTAGTTAGTTAAATTAATTACATTTCAAAATAAAACAGGTATTTGGTTGCTGGTACATTAGAAAAACGAAAGGAATTTGGAGAATCATTGCTATGAAGAGACACTGCGAACAAATTCCAGTTGTTTGAAAGAATTCGCACGAATGACTTGAGATCTAGTGGACAAGCTCCAGTACGTTGCAATGAAAATGGATCATTCGCTGCTTTTCGAACGATTTCTGACGAATGCAGTTCAGACGAAATCGCATCTAAAGGACGACGGGCCTTAAGGTTCTAGTTTACGTGACCCAAACTATCACAAATTACTATTCATTTTAAGTGGAGATTTGAATGATGATTTTCTTCTGATGGAGCGCAAAATTGAATCTCATTTCTTGATGCAAAGTTACAATTAAAGATGGTAAATAATCCAGAACAAATTACAATCGAGCAAGATAAAGTCGAGTGTCACTATTCGTTTTTTTAACCGCTATCATAAACCAATTGTCGCTTTTGTACGATTAGATAATGATAACGTAAATATCTGAATATAGTATAATGATATATACAGGGTGATTCAAAATTGGCGTCATTCCTTTTAAGGGGTGATGGAGGCTCACTTGGGAGTACGAGAAAAATATTGAAAATTTTTTTTTCGAAAATTTCTAGAAGATATTAACAGTTGAAGATCGAATTTCAACTTTGTTATTAAGCATTGAAGCATGAAATTGTTCCATGTTTAATTGGTAGCATATTGGAATACTTAAGCATTCAAAAAGAAAAATTACGATGTTTGCTTCAAATTACGAAAATTTTTGATATGATATTTTCGATATGATTGATGAAAAGGCACAGCGGCAATGATGTTTTTTGCCATTAACAGATAGTTACAGGTAGATAGCCCTTGTCAATAATAACAATAATCTGTCAAAATGTGACTTACTTTTGAATACGAGAAGCTACTTGATAAGAGTGGATAATAAGGATATTACACAGGCACTAGCTTGTTTGGAGTTAACCATTGAAATGTTTGGTGTTGTACGGATTATTTCTGTAAACACCAAACCCCGCAGAATTCGAGGTTATGAGAACAGGTTGACATTTCGAAATAGGTTCCGTCATTCAACGATTCCTGTTGAATTTACCGTTTATCCTTGCCTATCTGATTGTCACTCTCTATTTCTCCATGGTTACCGGAATTTTAAATAATTACGAAGCAACAGGTATTTGCGCAATGTTAATTAGACAGATTACCTTGAAAAACATTGCTGCCGTATTTCTGATATAGTTTTTGGCAAATTTATCAGTTTTTAATAACAATTAATTTCTTTTACTAGTTTTTCTGTACTCCTATAACACCGCTAGACAACACCCCCAGAGGAATGACGCGAATTTTGAATCACCCTGTATAGTAAATTTAATAATAGGAAAAATAAGCTGAATAGAATTGGCTTCTGTATTCGCACTGTTTCAAAGTACCTAAATGAGACAGCATGTGAAACACGGCATTTTGCAAATTTTGGAGGTAGTATTAAGTGCGACATACTTTTTGGGATCAAACAGAAAGGCATACAGGATTTTTGTTAAAAAGATGCAAAAGCGAACAATACGAACTATCAGTAAAATACGGCTTTCCAAACTGTAGGGAAACTTTTAAGGCAAAAAGATTATCAACCATTTATGGCTGTATCTACGAATCTATTGTATTTTCTTTTAAAAATTAAGACTTGTTTAGTCTAACACTGGTCACTATGATTATGAACACTAGAACACAGATTAACTGTTTCCAAAAAACCCCACGTCATATTGGGATAAAACTTTTCAACAAAGTAAATAACAATTATATATCAATATTAGAAACATAACACTTGAGAAACCTTTTAAAAATAAACTAAAGAAAATGATTACTGAGTTGGAACCTTATAGTATTCAAGAATATTTAGATACATAGACATAGAAAAAAACGTGAAGAAAGTTCGATGAGATAACCATCTCAAGCGGCAACGGCATTCGAGCGGCAACGAATCAGCAAAAGAAAATATACACAATCACAACAATTTTACTGATGCTGAAGCGGAAGAATGAACGTGTTGTGACAAACTATTTTTTAATCAATACATTTCCTTTCGGCGTTATTATTTATCGAATACTGATATTCCAGTTAAAAATATGTATATACCTTACCTTGACACATGCGCTAAAAAAATATGTACAGATGACGATGACCAATTTTGAAGTCTCGAATTTAATAGAACTTTCGGTAACTGAGGTATATATACAGGAATAAATTAGCTCTTCAATGTACCATATCGTTTTTGTGATAAACTCAGTGGCAAAAGTTTTAATTGGTTATCACATTTTCTTTTGGAGCTATAGGCAAAACTCTATTCTGATCACTTTCCATCGATTTAAAGATGAAAGAAATTATGACAAAATTATTACGAATTTTTTTAGTAGAATTAGATCTTCTGACTGTCTTTTAAATATTATTATTGTCAATTAAAACGCAAACTTATGCTTTTTAAAATTACATGAAAATTATAGGTGGCTATGGCCTAGATAAACATAGATTTTATTTCCGGTTTCAACGACACAGAACAAGGGCGGTCAATTCTAAATTTTCATCTTTGTTTTAACTAAATAAAAAAAAACATTAGCACAAGTTATAACTAATAAATTAGTGATGATATCTGAAATATGTTATAGAACCAACTATTCTACTCAGAAAGTTAATTTTTCAAATAATCCCGCTATCATACTGTAACGTCTAAATTGGCAGATCCTAGTTTTTGCTTCTAGCTGTGAAACATACGACAACGTCCAATTTTGGTTTACACCGTTGAGTTTAACACCAAAAAGAAATCGATAATGGAGTCTCATTTTTTCATATCTCATTTAGTTATCGAGATTTCAAAAAACGTCTGAACCGATAATATATATCCACTGTTCATAAGTCGAAACGAAAAAATTAATGGTAGTGTTTTTTGCAGAGGATTCAGTGTGGTGGCATCCGAACTTGTAGTGCCGGGCAAAACTACGGCGGTGTTTATAACTTTGAATAATCTATCAGGATCCAAACAACCCCTAAACGTCACCCTTCGTCTACTCAGCAGTGGGCAGCTGGTTGATGACAGCAGCAGCACGGTGCTGGTTGAGGTCACTCAAGAGATAGCCGGTAAGTTTTTCCGTTTCAATCCCATGCTGATGTTATACCCGAAACTGCTCGAAAAGTACTTTTGTATATTATTTTTAAAACCTTTTTCTTGGATGTTTTGTCTCAGAATTTTTGTCGAACGAAAGAATTTCGTCACGTCTTCTACAGTTTGATAAAGGGTGCGCTTATTTTACAGTCAGGAACGAATTATTTTATTCTTACAGTCTAGAGAGAACTTTACATCGCACTTGCTCAACACAACAAAACGGGTTCAACCGTAGGAGTAAAAATTGAATTTGTGAAGACGGTAATGTAGAAAAGTTTTCGTGTCGTTTCGATGGAAAAACCAGACTACATGAATGCAAATGTGCAAAAATTGATCTCAGAAATGTAATTTAGGTGTATGTTTCAATTAGTAGATACTCACCTACAGGGTAAGCAAATTTTTAACTTACATATCAATAAACTCAACTATATGTTTTAAGAATAACGGTTTTTTATAGCAAATTGCGCAAAAATTGGTACACATATTGAAGCGATTATGGAAGTGAATTCAATAATTCACAATTAATCCTGAAATCCAGATATGAATCAAATTGGTAAACATTTATTGGTCTGTTTTCAGCGTGCTTAAGACTGAATCAAATCGCAGGCTTTAAGCAAAAATTCTTATAACAACAATAATTTATTTGCACAATTAATACCAAATAGTTACTAAGAAGATCTTTGGTTCTGCATGCATTTTAATTCACCTAAAACCTATCAGGTTTTCACCAAGAAACAATTATAAAGTTTGCTCTAATACTAATACCATAAAGTCTGGAAAGTTTCTCTTAAGTATTTTAGTTTTCCTCTTTCGCGCTACAGCCAATTACATGCTTAATTTCGGAAGCCAAACTTGGGTCAACCTTTACTACAAAGCGGCAATTCTGAAAAGTTTCCGCGGTTTTGCAATGCTATTTTACTACAAATTGTGGTACATGAACCACTTGGGAATTTATTTTCTATAAAATTAATCCTATATTGGAAAATGGGAAATAATAAGCAGTTCTGGGAATAGTTTTATATACTTAGAGCTCATTGGAATGGAGGGCGAATTCTCACTACTTCAAAGCAGTCGTTCATTAAGTGAGCAACTATTTCGATTGCAAAATGTTTGCTTGGCACCAAACTTGAGGAAATGTGTAGAGGATTTTGTCGCAGTCTCCGCTTATTTCGGTATGGGAAATGTTGATTGGCAATTAGGGTAAAAGCGAAAAATCCACCGCACGTTATCCAGCAAAGCAACTACTTCAACTTTTAACCATCTTAAGAAAATTGAGGTTTTCAGAGATACGGAAAAAAGACTTATTTGATATTCGGAATTGCAAGACGAACTCAACTGATTAACTGTAGGCGAAAATATTTTACATTTGAATTTAAAATTGAAATAAAAATCAACGGTACATAATCTTCAACGAAAACTACACCCAACTGATTTCATAAAATGTTTCCAAATACAAACAACCCTGACTGTTGATATTTATAAAAAAAAATTAGTTTTCCAAAGTGAATTGGATCCTTTGAAGAAACGAAAAAAGCGCATATTTAGTGATGAAAGCCATTCGTTCATCATTTCTAATTGTGATGCAAATTTGTAGAGTAATCACTAGTGCTGCAGAAAATCCATAAAAATAATACGAATATTTTTAAACTATCTTCAAATGATAATTAAGCTACATTTATAGAATATACATTTGATTTTCCCTTGATACGAAGTCTACATAGACTCAAATTTTACTCGAGTAGAAGAAAACACAGTGGTAGATGATGGAAAATCAAAAGCCAAACCTCGCATTCTAATGCGCTATTTCCTCTGTTGAAGATTCATATAATTCAGATTCTTTAAAATTCCGATTCATCCACATTGTGGAAAGCAAAATACAATTTTCTCGTCTAGATGCTTTTTTAATAAAAACAAAATATATATATAATCCATATCTTACGTATTGCAAGATCCAATCAGCCCCGACCAGCTGATGGTACAACCTGTAAAAGTTATTTAGAACTCTTTTGTTATGTCAAAATAGATAGACTTTCGAGGCCATTCCTTGAAACTAATCGGTTTTTCGGGTTTTTATGCCGTCGTTGGGTAGAATTTCTTCTTGACGTTTCGCAAGCACGAGTGGCTTGCATCTTCAAGCAAACCACTTCTGAAGATGCAGAAGAAATTATACCCAACGACGACCTTAAAACCCGAAAAACCCATTAGTTTATTTTGTTATGTATTTTTGGTATTATTTAATGTAAGAAATATGTTTCAACTTTGGAACATCCAAATCACATTTTTTTGCCAACTTCAACACCAGAAGAAAAATTTGAAGCCTCCATGGAAATGTCTGTATTAACCAGAACTATAATACATTCGTCTGAACTGCAAAAGTCATTAGCAAAACGAAAATTGAATATTCAAACTGTGCAAATCCAGTGCTTTTAGTTAGACCATATTCTTGCATGATATCTAACAAACAGAACCATTATTTACCGACTGAATATTCAGTGGGGGTAATTCGGGGGTTCATTATTTTGTCCTGCGCCTATAACTATGCATAAATTTAAATGCAATTATTAGAATCATTCCAGTGGGATTTCGGCTTTCGTTTGTTTGGGGACTTTGGATCCATAACTGAGTCCCGCAGGTAAAAGCATAATGAATATGGTTCGATAATGAAATGGACCAAATACTTTGAAACTTCATCATTCCAATGAACCAATATAATTTGTAACCAATCGACAATAAATTGTTCTCCTAAAATCGTTGTCAACATGGACTATTTTATGCATTTTTACATTTTTAAATTGCTTTGTTGGACAAAATTATTACATCAAATAGTTAATTTAAGTTTCAAAATCTATTCATTTAAATTTACGTTAAAGTTGTTAGACGTCGTATATTATATTTTGCCAGTTAAATTAGACGACACTTTTTTCTCCACTTTTGGAAGCATATTTCGGTTTGAAAACGCAATTAGGCGATTAATGGAAAACGCTAACGAAAATAGCATGGGAGTTTGGAGCAAAATAAAATAATGATCAAAAACATCCCAATTTAGCTGAAAACTACTGAAAGTAAAGTAGCATTTAAAATATTTATTGAGATTGATTATATGAATGGGAAAGTCGCTAATTAAATAAAAACTTCTTAAATTCGAGTGAATTTCGCCATTTATTGGATTATAATTTGATTCGTACATTCAGTAGTACCTTATCATGAAAATGGATACTTATACACTGGTTGATACACACAGTTGAAGGTTTTTGTCGATTTTTAATAAATCTAGTTTTATTTTAAGCTACTACTGGTTTTGACCCCTGATGATAAATGAAAGGGGTTTGAAACATTAAATCCCGCTTTTTGAAACCCAAATTTTAGAAAATTTTAGTAAGATATTTTTAATGTGCTTCCTGAAGTTAACCAGTTATATATTTAACAGCACAGAGACTGGCACTAAAAAAAATTATAGAAATATTGGTTACAAAGTAAAACTGTCTAAATCATAGTATATATAATTGATAAAAATGGCATGCTATAAAGTTAAATAGTAAGTGAACTATATTATCAAACTGAGCCGAATGCAGGACAACAGTTTATGATTATGTCATTTATGATTGACCGGAATGTGAAAATTTAGTTTAATTTTCCCTTCTTATTACCATTTAAGACAAGAATGTCTTGCTATAATATTTTAATATGTTATATTGGAATTGACCATCAATTCTTTCAAAATTTGTACTTTTATTTGATATATCTCTTGTGCTTCTCATTTCTACAACCACACGTTTCGGATAAAATTTTAATTTGTATACAGGGTGATTCAAAATTGGCATAATTCCTTTGGAGGTGTTGTCTGACGCTGTTATAGGAGTACAGAAAAAATAATAAAAGAAATTAATTGTTATTAAAAACTGAGAAATTTGCAAAAAAACTATATCAGAAATACGGCAGCAAT